TTTCCCTTCCCTTTGAGGCCCAGCTCTTCAGAAGGGCAGGGATGAGGGAGAGGGGACCATGTCTCTCAAGCCCATTGGCAGTGGTTATGGCACTTTCCCTGAGGTTGATACTGTTCCTCTGGCTGTTACTGACCATACCAGTTCTCAGTGTCTTTTCTTTGGGAGGCGATGAAAGACTGGTCATGGGGGGGACATATGTATGAATTGCTCAGAAGCCGTGTGGGGCGTGCTGACTGCACTTTCCCTGACTGGCTGAGCCCCCAACTCTTCCATTGCCACTCTGGGTTCCAGCATTGGTGGTACCAGCCCCAGCCCCAGCTCTTTGCTTCTTGCTGGGAAGGGAGCTACTGTCCCCATCTCTGCCCACCATCCCTCTCCAGTTCCCTGTCCAGAGAGACAAAGGAAGATGAGCATTGCTCCGAGTTTGAGCACTAGAATGTGAGTCTCCTTTGTACAAGCACCACCGATTTCTGTTTATGCCTTTTGGTACCTCCTTCTTCTTCCAACTCTCATCCCAGCCATTATGCTTCCTTTCTACTGGTTCTCTGTGACTCTGTCACTTTTATCCCAATCTAATCTAGTCTTTTGGAGCAGATGGAGTGGCTCTGCAGGTATGAATTCTGTGGTGAACTGCAAGCGTCCTTGAGGTACTAAGTGCCTCCTTTGCCACCACTTTAGATAATGGTCACCATTTCTGGGGCACCAGTAGAATCCTGCTACAGAGTCAGTATCTTTATTTTATAGATTGGGAAATTAAGACAGAGAAGTTAACTAACTTGTCCTTGGTCACACGGTGAGAAAATAGAAATATTTTTCTCCATCCACATCATTCAGACTCTAAAAGCCCTGACCTTAAGCGGCACATAAGAGCACGTCCCCCACACCATTTCCAGCATTTTTTTTTTTTTTGAAGAGAACATTATGTCCTAAACTTCTATGCAAGTGAAAACCCAGACACATGGACTTAAAGAGAAACAGAACTAGGAGTCCTGACTGACGTAGGCCAGGGAAGCACCTTTCCAGGGACACCTTTGGGGTCAACCAGGAAACCTGTGTGGGAAAATATTCCCAGGGAATCCTCAGGTCTGGACTTCCAGGGGCAACACTTGCCGCTGGATACAGTTGTTGGGAGGAAATATAACATAAAAATAAGTCACCGAAAGGGATAGACAGACCTTTTAAAATAGTATATTGATATTTAGGGGCATGATGACTCAGATGAGCTTCTTAAGGCATCGCCTTGGAAGGCCCCCAGAGCAAAAGGTAATAATGATAATATCTAATATTTCAGGCCACTTAGTGTGAGATAAGAACTGTTCGTTGCTTTATATGCATTATGTTGCAACAACTTTTGAAATAGATACTTCTATTTTCTCATTTAAAATTAATGGAATTAAGCTTAACGGCTTTCTTTATGTAACTTGCACAAGATCATACAACTCAAAGAGATGGTAAATAATAAAAAATACTTTTTTCTTAAAAAAAAGTGTTAGTGTTTTTCTGTTTCAGCTATTGACAGAAATGATGATTAAAGAATTTTCCGTGTTTTACAGACTAATCGAAAACATGGATAAGACCCCAGAAAGGCAAATGCTTCTAAACCTTCAAGATGGCAGAAATGTTTACAGCAGTGAAAGGGAGATCGAAAATTCAGAACTACCCTGTAGCCAGGACTACAACTATGTATTTTAAAGCCATTATTCAAGGTTTCTTACTTGACAGTTCCTACGTGACCCTGTTGAAAATCTACAATATATGCTGCATTTAATGAAACATGTATATGTCAAACCAGAAGAAAAGAACTATAAACATATATTGTGTAAAGAAAAAATTCAGCAATGGAAACAGTTTCAGCAGATCAAGCAAAGATGTCTCGGGCATAGAACCAAAGTTACAATGAAACATTCTACCCCTGCTGTGCAGGGGGTGCCATTTTACTGTAACACCACACCCCATGGAAACACTAGTCATGAAATAAACAGCATTTTAAAAAAATCAAAACAAAACCAACAAAACACAAGGGTGGGTGGGGAATGAAGCACGAGGAATACCTATAAGGAACTATTTACAATAAAATGTTTCATTTGAAAAGTCTGGTTTCTTACTACAGGGATTTGCTTTTCTGTCTTTATTATTGTTTAAACTCAGGAACAGAGACATCTGCAGTGTGAACGGGAAAAAGAGCACTCTCCGATGTGTTTTTCTGCAGAAGGTAGAGCTGGCAACTGCATTCATTCCACAGACGACAGATGAGGAGCAGATCGCAGTGACCCCGACTACACTGGTGACAAGGCCAAGGACTCAGGCGAACATAACATGAAAAATAAAAGCAGACTTGCTGTTTCCTTGACCTTCCGTCACATCTGTGTTCCTCCATGAACAACAGACTGATCTCATTCATATCGAAAATTAAGAAGATAATGCTCGAAATCACAAGCTCCCTGACTTAATTCTTTTTAGAATGCCAACATCTATAGGGAACATGGGCCAGAGAGCATCTCTGAATCTTTCAGTTTTCCAAATACTGGTGTTCAGACGGCTGCTTAAAATGCCTGTAAATAAATGTTATGTTATTTGAGTGAAAACACCATAGAGGTGATAAGTTAAACTTCTACCAACTATTGAGTTTGCCACAGATATGTGAATATTAAACTAAATTATGATTATTTTTTTAAATGGCCTGATATACCTAGAGCACTCAAACCTCTTGTCATATAGATCGATAACTTTTTTTTTTTTTTCCAGAGAGCTGACAACAAAAAGATAGCTCTACTATTTTATATAGAGGTAACATTATGTTACTGATAAAGTTATTTTCTACCAGAGTCAATTAGAAGACTGGGACTTTTCCTAAGTTATGTAATACTGAGTCTTAGATTCAGATCTGAGAGCATATAAGTGTTCCCGAAAAGCTAATTTTACACCTCATTTACTGTAGATAACAAAACAGCCTCAATTTTTCAAGTCGTCAAGGTTTTATTTACAGGGCTAGAATTCCCATGCATGGAGAATGTGTGTAGGGAGCCAGAAACTCTTTTCTATGAAATGCTACCCAAATGCCCCCATACGTGGGTTCAGTATCTTCGGTTTTAGCACTGGCATTTTCAAAGCCAGGACAATAACTGAAGAATGTACAAGAACAGCTACAATGCTGGGCTCCACTTTTCGTTCTTACATCTACTGATGACACACAGGTATCTTTGGCCCAGTCACATAACCTCTCTGTGCCTCAGTTTCCTCATCTGCAAAATGAGGTTAAAATGCTTTTTCACAAACTTTCTTTTTTGCAATTCTGGAACAAGAGGTGCTTAAAGTAGCACAAAGTGCTTTGTAATTATTATGACTGCTATTATTATTTGAATTTCTTGTATTGTTGAGAAGAAGAGTCCCCTGCGTAATAAAATAATGCTTCAGTTTGGTTAGATCTAAGCCTGCAGCAATGATGCTTTCCCTTCAAACTACCAGGGACATTACTAGCAATAAAGATTGAGAGATCCAGAGCCAGGATCTCTAATAACCTAGAGTAAATAGATCATCTCATGCTACTGAACAAGGTAGAATGTGTCATTTCAGTGATGAGTATCTCCCAGCTCTCCTACTGCATATGCAAACCATAATATAAAACTCGACTTTTACCGTAGGAGAGCCAACCATGAAATTAAGGCCTGGAGTGAACCGATAGCATGACATAATCCGATTATCCCTTTCATTTGGAGGGAAGGTCCAATGATGTGATTGGGAATTTACAAAATAATTATCCATCTGCTGAATACTTTGTTCAACTGGGTGGGTTCCAGATTAATGTGAATAGTAGATTTATTGTGCAGCGATGTGAAAAGTGCCACTACAGTCTGTGACTCCCTCCTTTCAAATATCAACATATTACTCTCCCATATCTTCAACTTTTCCATTGCTCTTCATTGGCCAGTCCACGGTCCATCTGAGCAAATTCATATTCCATCTCCTCCACCCAACCTACTTTTCTTCAATTCATCTTGCTTTCCCCACCCCCACTCCAAAATGTAGTTTATATCCAAACATTGACTATTTTTTAATGATTAGAAACATTTGTAGAAATTCTATGGTTTAATCATACACCTTATCTGCTATAAATCTGATTGCATCACACACACAAAAAATCACATAAGAGCAATACCTAGAGTAACCATCTAAGCAACTTTAGATGTGTTTAGGGTGAATGCAAAAGGAGGGGCTCTTGTTGCTTATGATCAAGGAGATTAGCAGATTTCTCTAGACTTTAGGCTAAAAGGTAGCATTTTTACCAAGTCTTACTCATGATCCCCCAAATTAACGTATTATTAGATAAGGCCAAATATTATGAGTATATCTGTTGTCCACTTCCTCAGTTATAAAAATCAGCGAAATGTAAATGTACGGGAACAGTCACTCATGGATCCACAGAAATGGACCGTATGTAAATGAATGCTGCCCTTGTAGATGATGTACAGCAATAGTAAAAAGAGAGTCTCATTACTACTAGAGAGGTTTACTGTGGCCCCACTTGTTACAGAGTGGATAATCCCTAGTCTGATCTTAAATTTTTCATTGTAACTATCCTGACACATTTGGCCAATGAGTTAGTAGCAATCAAAACACATTTTCCAGGGTTGATTTATTTAATATTTTCTTAACAAAATATTCATCTCTTGCAAAATTAACACAACTGACAATATTTAAAAATAGCTTGAGATAAAATGAAAATCCCAATTTAACACAGTTATCCAAGACAGGAAAATTTTTATGAGAAAGGAAAAAAATGGAAGACTATATTCGGCTATCATAATAGAAAGCATCTATTACTAAATTGACTTTTTTATAATGCCGCCAAGTTTTATTTTAGGAAACACTAGAATTTGCTGAAAGTAAAAAGAAGATCCCTTTTAACCTGTGTCATATAAATGAAATTATTGCCAATAGTGAGATTTTAGGAATGGAAGAATAAATTTTTGGCTTTTTTCCTTCCATTCACAAATAACTTCACACAGGTGGCATGGTTCTTCAGTAGGATAGAGATGATGTAGAGGGCTCATAGGTCATCACTGGAGTAGAAAGTGAACATTTGTTCTCTACTAGTAATAGAGGAAATAAAGTTTTGCCAAATAGTTTTTGCTACAGTATTTTATTTCAATTAACTTTGCTTTCAGTTTAAAATAAATCTCTGGCAAACTTACTGTTCCTTTTTGCCTACTGTCAACTTTTTTTGTAAAACTTGTGTAATTCATATATGTTCAATGTCTTCAAGGAAATGCATAAGTTTATTGTTTTAAAATGAAGCAAATCTTTTTAATATGCCTAGGCTTTCATGGAAACAAAATATTCATCAGTTTTGCATCAATGTTTAAATAATTGGAACGTGTGTTATGTTGCATCAAAATCCATGGAACTCGTTTTTTTTTTTTAAATATTTAATTGCATTTTTTGATCTGTCGAAGAGTGGCATAGAAAATATATATATTTATCTACTATATTGAAGAAGTTCAATATAACTTTTGAGAAATCAGTAATCAAAGCTTAGATGACCGCTTACGCAATGAGTTAATGCTTCCGTAATGGTTCTATGAGGGGACTTCTACTTTCTAAAGGGAAAAAAGTAGGTCACAAGGTCTTGAGAGAGAAACGTTTCCACTCCATTCAACTGCCTCATTATTTCTGTGTAACATGTTGTCTTGAGACTGAATTTCAGAAGTGCTGGCAAAAGGATTCAGACATCGTAGAAGGTTGGAGCTGATCCTCTGTGATTCCGTTTCAGTACAGGGCAGGGCAGATTCACATTCCTTTGCTGCCTTTAGTTTGGCAGTTTAGTTCTTCCTAAATAAATCTTCTATTCTTGAGAGTCCAATGTTCAATCAAAATTACTAAAGATATACTTCAGGGGTAATGTGGCAAAGAACAAGAAGATTATCATTTTCTGTATTCAAACTCAAAGGTACCAGTCGTTGGTTGGTTCCCTGTTTTCGTCTCTCTGTTTTCGCATTGAGGTCTTTGTACCGATGCTTCTATTTCCATCCTTGTTATATCAAAATTCTGCATGGTGGGAGTGGTGTGGATGAATAACTTTGAGTCCAACTTTGCCTACAATCAAGATTCCACAAACTTGCTGAATTGTGGATGATGCAGTTTCCCAAAAGCATATCCCCAGCATCCATTAATAACAGGAATCACTTATATTTGATTGACATCTCACAAAATGTGCCTATTTCCCCTATTAACCATAATAATGAGGCAGATCAAAATCCAAACACTTATAAATATGTGATGTACATATATACACATATGTATTCTGTATATAGTATGATGGTGTGCGTACTTACTACATGTGTACGTCTGTCCTACGGCTGAGACCTTAAGGAAGGGGTTTCTCTGATACTGCTGGGTAACTCATGTTTTTGTTCAGCATAAGGTGTCTGTGCTCTTTCTCTCCTTGCCTGCCTCTTATCCCTCTTACCCCACCTTCTGTTCATTACTACCATTCCCTGTTGTAGACTGAGGCAAAGAACTTCTCATTGGTTTTCCATTACTCAAGCCCTTAAAGCAGCCTTGTAGTGATGCCGATGGTTTTCCGGGAGGAGCGACAGTAAGTCCAGCACAATCTACGGTATTAATATTAGCCCAAATCTCGTATTTTTATCAACTAAAATCCCATTTGCAGAAGAGTTTGTGCATGTTTTAACCTTCAAGATCCAATTCTGTGGGGACTCAAGTATAGAGCCAAGGTATTTGAATCCATAATCCTCCAGATGTCTACTGCATACATGTAGCCAGGGGGCCAATTTCTCAGAGCTTTCATCCAATCAGCTGCCTCAGTTGGGGTTATTTCCGCCTCATTAGCATGAGTCCATATATTGCTTCAGTGCTTGTCTATTAATGGAAGAAAAGTATAAATCAAGTTTCACCAGAATGATCCTCTGAAGTACAGCGAACATGTACATGTATTATATGTATTACCGTAGAGATTGGAATCAACTTATTGTATGTAAAGTTTTATGAATGGTTATTTTATAATTTATGTATTTAATATAGGAAGCAATGAACTCTGGTGTTTTAGTTTGTATAAAAATAAAACAAGCTGCATTTTTTAAAACTTTATCTTGACTTGTTTTGTTTTTCACTGAACTGAGGCAAATCAGGGCTATCGGTGTAACGACTAAGAACAAATTCTACGTCGAAGATAGTAAATAGGTTTTTTTTCCTCATATCCACTCTGCATTTTTTATTATACCTGCCAGGGGGACTGTGATGAGGAATCCAAGGCAGAATTTATACTCAAAAGGAAAGAACAATGCTCATTAGCATACCTGCCCTGAGTGTAGTTTCGGAGACAATCTTGACAGCTATTTGCCATTCTTCCAGATATTACTTCTTTTCCTTTTTCCACCTATCTTTTTTTGTCTACTTTGTAGAGCCACTAGATGTAAGAAGTTAATAAGTATGTGTTGCCTAAGCATTCATTATGTGCCCATCCCTATGGCTCGTAGGTGTGGGTTTACCCTCAAAGAGCTTAAGGCAGGAAACAACCCACGTATACATGAAACAAAGCCAGTGTGGTGCAATGGGCAGTACAATTTTGTAGGTCACTATTAAGAACTATTAAAAATATTAATATTTGATGGCGGGCTTGAAAAATCCATGCTAAAAAAGTCTCTTCTTTCTATCGTAACCTCTTATTTTAAGTAGCAAAAAGGGTCACTAATCAGTTCATTACAACCTTCTTCACCCATTTATAGGATCCATCTACATGCCCTGTCAAATCTTTAAAACAGAGGAGAGTAAGTAAGATGTAGCCCAGCCCTCAAGACATCACCATCTACGTCATTTGATGAAGACTTACAGCTGACTGAGTCTCTGAGAAAAGGACCAACCATATCAGCATGCTGTGAAGTAGGCCGTGATTGTTATGGATTCTGATTTTATAAATAAAAAACTCTGTTCTGATGAACTGCAATTCTGGTATCAAACTCAGGTAATGCTGTCATGTCAACAACTTGATTTCTTCTAGCTGCAGAGGAAAACACCCTAGTGTCTTTCTGGAGATACTAAGGGAGGTGGAGGACACTTTCTACCACAGTGCCATAAGATACCATAATTAAACGTCCACCAGGCCCACACAGAGAGCTTCCTCCTCCGGGCTCAGGACACGGCTCTGCCTCAGAAACCCAGGGGAGCAGGTGCAGTCACAGATGTTCAGATGTGTTGCCTCCACAGGAGCAGGTGCAGTCACAGATGTTCAGATGTGTGGCCATGTGCTGACCTACCCGGTAAAGATTAAAGGTGTGATATTTAATTTGGTAGAGATTTCTGCCAAATGGCTGATGAAGAATGCTTATTTTATCTAAGCGACTTTGTACATTACATATGGAATGTGAGGGCGAAGTGTGAAGGCTTTTTTTCTCACTGAATCTACTCCAAATAAAAGTCTGTTTTTAACGAATACATTTTCGTTCATACAGATGCACTTAAAAATATGAAGTCATTGATTTTGATCAAAAAAATCCATAACAAATAGTCATTGGTAATCTGTGCCTATAGTTACTGTACAAATGTTGGGAACATGTGCCACTACACCTATGTCATTTCTGTGAAGGTCCATATGACACTGTTTTAGAATTTAGAAGGAGGAAGAGGAAACACAAAACGCAATATCAACCACCTCAGCACTGGATTTTTCTTCCTTTATGATAAGAGATGAATAATTTACTGTGTAAATTATTTTGTCCTGACTGCCTAGAAATG